TAGGAGGAATATTAGATGCGCGGGGCTGACACTCGGCTTTTACATGCTGCGTTGTACAATAGAGGCAGTGGCAGGGGGAAGTACTAATTACCTTAAGGCTAGCTAATAACGCAGTTTTCCAACATTACCTCTAACGGGTTGAAGTTAGTAATCAGCAAGAAAATCATCATCAGAAGCGGCGGAGAAATCAGGGGCACACATGGATCTCGACAGGTCCGTGCTGATGGCAGAGGAGAGCACACACCAGCGGGAGGATGGTTATGACCGACCCAGCCTTTCAGGAGGAACTTGAAAACAGCAGCTCCCGCCCGCCGGAGTCAATAGGCCGGGGAGCAGCCGCCTTCCCCGGGCACACAGGGACTTTTTAGACTTGTCGGAACCGTTTCAAACCCTCCCCGCCCTCTCCGCCGCCTGCCTCTACCAGCAAGGCCTCGGCGCTTTATGGTTGCCAACGCAGGGTTCACCCTTAAAGATCCCCCGGCCGAGGCCGGCCCGGTGCAGGGGTGTCCGGGGGGCGGGAGCCCGCCCGGAGGGGGGTCCCGGGACGGGGGGGGACACGGGACGGACACGGCTTCTGACTCCCCGCCTTGCACATTCAACTCGAGGGTGATTTGAAAGGGGTCCCCTCGCTTCATCTGGTGAAGCCATTTCGTGTTAATTAATCCCTACCAAATGATAAAACCAGAAACGACCCTCCTTTTCCATGACGAGAAAGTGTATATATATATTTTAATTATTTGGGTTGATTTCCTTACGAGACAGGGCAGGAAACTGCAGCTCTCCTTCGTGTCCTGCCTCGCCCCCTTTCCGGGCAGGATTGCTCCCTTCCCAGCCCTCCCTTTCTCCTCTGGCACCGGCTCCGCTGCTCCCGGTGACCAAACCGAGCACTGCGGCTCGGGCGGGGAAACGTCCCGGGCGGGAGTGGGCTCTCCCCGCAGTCGGGCACCGAGAGCTCCCGCACAGCTCTTCGGGCCGGACGGGGGATTGTCGCTCTCAGCGACCTTCCCGGGTGGGAGCACGGAGAACCGGCAGCCTGGGGCTCGCCGGGGGTGTGGGTGTCCCGGCCCCACTCGGGCTAGCGCGGGTGGCGAGCCGGCCCACAGGCTGGGCCACACCGGGGAGGTCCCTTGCGCCGAGGCTCTCCGGCACAGAACTCAATTATAAGGGCTGTGATTACAGCGATATATCTCCCCCGCGCTCCGCACGCCCGGGTGTCAAGGGTAGTGCTGTGGGAAGGGTGCGAAGGGCAGCAATTCATACCAGAGAGCTGACAGTTCTTTGATGTGAAAATGATGCCCCGATTTTTACTCCAGGATGCCCAGCCGAAGAGAGATCACACCGTTTAAAAAGAGAAATTTAAACTCAGATGATAATAGTAACGAGCCAAGGAGACGAGCCGTAGGGAAGTCAATTTTACAACGAGCAAAGCAATCTGTGAAGGCCTTGTGCAGCCTGTCGGGTCCGGGCGAGTGAAACTAAGTTCCTGATAAATCATTAATCACGGATGATTTTTGCAGTTAAAGACAGTCAGCCCCGCGCGGGTTCTCGGTATGGCTGGCCCCGGTCGCGGGGACTCCTTTTGGGAGGAGGCCTCAGACGCGCCGGGCGGCAGGAGAGGCCCCGGTCTCTGCCACTCGTGTCTTGCTTTCACCAAGAAGGCTCTCATGACAGGAAAGAAAACAACCCAACAACGTCTTAATTTTTTTTCTGTATAAAATAATGTGAGGGACAGATTCTGGCGTAAAGCGCTTTTTTAAAAAAATAAAAATAATTCTACTTTTGCTCCCCTTCGCCCTCCCGGGACAAAGCAAGCGGCGCTGCCCGGCCCCGCACGAAGGCTTTTTGCTTCCTTCCCACCCGTGAGGCGCTGCAGCCCGTGGGCCCGGGGTGACAGCCTCCGCAGCTACTCCTTCCACTCCCTCCCGGTGTCCCGTGAGACCTCCCGGTCGGTGGCGTGTCCCCCCCGACCCCCGCCGCCTCTGCGGCCCTGCCCGCCCTTCCCGCGCCCCCACGGACAAGACGGTGGGTTCCTTCCAAAGGCAGGAGCAGGTTCAAAGCTTCCCTTTCCTAACCAATGGCCAGGCATTATTAACACATTATTAAAACTCCTTTCAGAGCACCTTAATGAGACTTTCACTTATTAGTAATGGGAGCGAATTTCGGAGGAGTGATCGGTTAAGCCGCATCTATAGTTTTCAGACTACGCAAATGAGGCTTTTACCAAATTGAATTCAAATTCTCTTGGCATTCAGAGGCTGAACTCTTTATCTTGCGGCGTGGGGTGGTCATCAGGACAAGAGCAGTTTTTTACGAGAAGACAAGCAAGCAAAGAAAACTTATTCTAAGGGTAAAATCGTTTCGGGGTATTTGCTGTAGAGCAGAGGCAGCCCTGGGGTGCTGGTGGTGTGTTTCTGAGCGGCGTAAACACCCCCTCACCCCCCCGCCCCGTCCACACACCAGCCAGCTGGTGGGACTCCTCTTCTTCTCCACACTCATCTTT